AAGGTCAGGAGTAAAGGATAGAATCCAATGTTTTAAACTCTCAATCAGTGTGCCTTGAATCCTTTAGAAAATTATCTTCTGGCCAAGCCTGCAGTGAGTAAAACTGAAAAAATCTATATAAATAAAAGGCTAATATGCTAAGTGTCCCTCCCACCATCTGACCGGTCGCTATGATGCACACTGACCACCAGGGGGCAGATGCTCAACACAGGAGCTGCCGTGATGCGCACTTGCCATTTACAGAGAAATGGCAGCACAGACCTGGTGTCGACAAAGCAACACTTGGCTTCCCCCAAGTGGGACACAGGCCCTGCGACCACCCCAGAGCAACAGCCCACCAAATCACAGCCAACACTGCCGAGACCCAATGGCACAAAATGTGGCCCAAGTTTTTTCTCTCTATAAAAAAGGCTAAGTTGACTCACCCATGCTCGATACATATAAAGCTCTCACTGGTGCCAATCTTACATGCATGTGTTTCCATCTGTCATTGTCGATCATGAATTTGGTTGACAGTTCTATTATAGAGAAAGGGTGAATAGGGATATTAAAATACTTCTTCTAATTAATTTCCTTTCAATGTGCACGAATCCGTGAACGAGGCCACGTGTGTGTGTGTGTGTGTGTGTGTGTGTGTGTGTGTGTATGTGTGTATCTTAAGTGATGACAATAAAACTGCGAAACTAGACTCTACTTACACCTGGACTGGAGGGTCAAGGATTTAGGATGGGGAGGGAGCAAATTGTTTTAAATATTTTTGTTAGGATTCAAGTTATAAAAAAAGCAAGAGAGATCGATCAGATCTTTTCTTCAGAAAATGTAGCAAAACCAACTGAAAGCTAGACTTCAGAAATTCTCATTAGTAACAAAACTCGGCAAATTATTGTTTCATCTTGTCTTCTTTTCCTCAAATTTCACATTTTTGAAGTAAACATTTCCGAATCCCATAGTATTATATTTTCTGAATAGTTTGTTCTAAACAACTTCACAGCATTTATATTTTCATTCAAAGTGTTTAGAGGATATTTAGAAGAGAGAGGAAAACAGCAGAGACAACTGGAACTTGCTTCAGTTAATATCATAAGTAAAGTGACTTAGGAATGGTCATTCAAATGGCTTCCTCAGGGAGGAAATACTCTGATTTCTTTTTCTAGGATTGACTAAACCTGGCACACCTTGGATTTTTTATTTTCCAAATGTTCAGGTGGCTTTTTATAAAAATAAAATAAAATGTCAGGGCAATCCAAAATTTCCCCTAAAACCAGGCACTTTTCTTCATTGATGACCACTCAGTTTTGAACCGTTTATTTATTCTGCCACTAAGTGTTGAAAGCATAGGGAAATGGGACGCTGGCAATCCCACAGGGAACACATTTCTAACCGCTCCAAATTCATTTCCAGTTAAGCTTTCAGACTTGTACTAGTTTATCTCAAATGGCCACCGGAAGAATCCTGCATCAACTCTAACTTGCCAGTCCACCAATTATCCTGCATTCCTCCAGGGAATCGTGATCGCTTTCTGATTCTCAGGCAATGGAAGGCCAACAACGTGGCTTTTGCATAAAAAGAGAGAGAGAGAGAATTAGCTTTGTGTGGAAGCACAGGGAGGCTGTGGGCCTCAGCTTTGTCTGCCTCGATTCATCTTAGGGCTCCCCTTTCCCAGCCCGGGCTTTAGGTAGCAGGTGGAGGGTGCAGGCACTGGGAGTCCTTGGGCCGCAGGCCCAGAGGAGGTCAGCTGAGGTGCTGTCAAGAAATGATGGGCTTGGCACCTCACTTCTGAAAGAAATCAGCCAACTCCACTCAAGCACACCTCTTCTGTGCCCCACCCCGCAAAGGTTGGAGGAAGGTAGCGGTGGCAGCTCAGCCCAAGCCCGGGCCTCGGGGCGTCCAGGAGGAGGCTGAGACCGCGGCTCATGGGGCGTGTCAATGGGTCTGTTCCCCACTCGCTAAGCCCCCATTAGGTCACTC